CAAATCGAAAAAATTGTATCCGTTTACTGTTGATTAAACACGTGTTCACGACTGACAATCGCTGAATCGCATCAACATTTAGGAAAATCATCACTGTAGGGGACAGAGCCATGATACCGAAATAAATTAATTGTTTAGAATTCAGAAATAGGCGCTGAAGTGGGCGGGGGTATTTTTTCCAAGATGGGAGCTTGCGTCCCTTAAATATAGGTGTGGTACGTCTTTTTTAAACGTGGTTTTTTTTGCCTGAAAGTGTCAGGATCTTTATTTTAACAACTTTTAAGTGTATTTAAATAAGATTCAAAAATTTTAAATTTATTTTACATTTAACAATCCGGAAGACAAGCCCCTATGCACAAAAGGGGAAAAACATGGGATGAATTGATTTGTTAAAATAAGATAATAATCATTAAGATCTGAATTATGTTATACGATATACGCATGTAGGTAAATAATAGATTAGTCCGAGGAATACCTTCTTGAACCATTGGTCTGACTTCATCGTAGCAGAATTCCAGCAGCACAGACCTTCGTTGATCGGGTACACAAAGGTAACGGTTTCTGACGTCATCAAGACTGCAGTTTCTCCGTCTGGCAGAGGACTTCCAATCAAAGCTATTTAGGGGACAGGACGTTACTGGAAAAACGGGGTATCTGTATTTGGAATTCATTTGGTATTGTTGCTGATAACAAGGTTTTAGCTTGGATATACCTGTAAAATTTAATATTGATGTGAAATTATTGAAATTATGCAGGAAATGGTGAATATACAGGAAAAACAAGCGCGGATCCAGGAATATTCTGAAGGGGGTGTTAAAAAAAACGCAATTTCATTTCCGAACGTGAAAAACATATTTCGTGGCGCGGGAGGGGGGGGGGGGGGGGGTAGGGAGTAGGTTAATCGTTCGGTTTTAAAGCTTCTTTCCTTTGATATTTCATACCTACTTCACAAAGAACCGCATTTTCTAGGAGGGTCCGCGTTTTCTACGATGGTTTAAAGATTACTTTTACTTGTTTTTTCGCTTAAATTTCATAACTCTGCAAATAACAGGGGTTCCGGACCCCCTCCCCTTCTAGATCCACAAATGAAAGATCTTACACTTTTTAATCAAATTATTAAGAAGCTTCAAATATTAATCTAGGATTAATCATCAAGTAACGTTTTTAACACCAATTACTGAATAAGATTAAATTGTTGATAAATAAATGCTAGTTATTTTAAGTAATAAGTATACATTTTTTCTCATTTACTGGCAATAAATATTATGGTGAAACCTGATATATTTTATTTACTTCACATTTTGCTAGGGCCTAATATTCAACAAAAGAAGCGTCGTCCGATTCACACCGTCCCAGTCCAAGTCAGCATGAATATATCAGAGTTACCTTTCTTGAAGTTAATCAATATATCACTTTACAATAGTACAAGTTTCAAGTTTCCATTATACATGTTACATGTATACACAAAACACTTGAACAATTTGAATATTCTTATATTAATGTGCTACTTTAGTAATAAATTAGAGGTACTGTGAGCAATGGGCTCACTAAATGATACCCCCCGCCTCCCATATGTGTATAAATCGCAGTGTCCATGTTTTGCTATGGGAAACCCAAAATATGTGTCGGATCAAAAAGTAAAATAGGAGGTGCACAATGGCAATATGTAATAAAGATTCTGTGAAAGTTTCACCATTTTCATTCAGTGGTATGAGGGGAGTTGCAGATAAGAGATGGGTACCCCAAAGCGTAACAGACGGACGGACGGACGGAATTAACGATTACTATATACCCTCCCGTTTTTCAAGCGGGGGGTATAATGACTTCTTATTGGACTTATTTCAAACAACTGGTGACTCTATCATAAGGAAGTGTTATTCAACAAAAAACGAAAACGCTCAATAATCTTTCGAATCATTGGTCTTTCGAAATAATTTTTACATTATAATCCCAATCATATCAAATATTTTAATTTACTTACGATGAAATATTGTGTTACTCTACCTATTGATTATGTACAATTCCAGACAAGCAGACGATCATCACTTTTAAAATTAAATTAAATAACAATGGTTCTTTAAACCTCTGTACAGCTGTATGCATTAGAGCGTTTAAAATGTTGTATCGAATAACGTACCTGGATAGCTTCCAGTTTTCTTCATAGCTAAATTTTACTTATATATTTAATCAATTAACTTCTGCAACAAAGAGAGGAATCAACCAGCCATTCGATGAACATTTTCAACATTTTAAAAAGTTATGGAAGGGGGGGGGGGGGTGTTCCGGTCCTGGACCAACCTCTCGTTTGTAAATCCTTGATATAAGTTAATTTCAGTGCATGCATGGCCGAAATTTTTCTATGAAAATAGTAGTGTGTAATGCAGGCGAATCGATGTTTCTATACAACATACCTGAAGCATACCGTAAGCCAAAATTTTTAAATATCATCACCACTTAAAACTACTAACACGCTACTCAATATTTTTCTGTCATATTTGGAAGTATGATACCAAAATTTACACTAGATTTTTACCAGTAATTCCGTAAATTAAATCACACCACATTCAATATTGAAATAGATGAAAAATATATTGAACTGTGACGATTTTAATATCGTTAGGAAAAATCTTGCTCGTCTTTGTAGAAGATAAATAACGATCTTTTTGTATCTTTTAAAATAAGCAACATTTATCTAAAGAGGAAACGGGAGAATCATTACTATGGCACAACGTAGTTGCCGAAAAATGGGGTCATTTTTACAATATTTTCTGTTGTTATCGCTGTTTTCTTACGATTTTTAATTCGAAGAATTTTTGCATACCGGTAATTTTAGATACATGTGTAAAAATGATTCTGAGATTGCTTACTTTATTAGCATTGTGACCTATTCAATTATGACGTCACGATCACTCTCTGTGTAGTTGATATTTACGTCACAAGTGCAAAGCAATGGAAAATGATTGTCTACAATCTATACAAAAACTTCGATGCTTTCAAGTGTTTTATGACATTGGATTTCTTCCCTATAAAATAAGTAAGTATTTCTCTCAAAGACTTATTTGTTTGCTACATGTATATAGATACTCAACAAGAGTTCAATTTATTCGACAGGTAATTCAATTAGCAGCTTAATTTGTACATATTAGGATACCTATATTTATATAGTGGAGGATATAGTTACCCAGAGATAAACCTGTGCTTTATCCACGGATAGTTGCTTTATCATAGCACTTCCGGTTTTGACACTATCACTCGCTCAAAGATTTAAATGCATAGAAATTTTGATATGTGAAAATTCTTGCCTTATAAAATAAATGATAAACAGCAAGAAAGTTGTTGAAAACAAGGAAAAGACCCGTATTCCTCGATGAAGTGTCAATTTATTTAATCAAGGTTTCTTGTGAAGACGGGTCCCTCCTTACCCCTTTAAATCATTGTCAAGAGAAACGTAAGACTAGCAGTTAAGTTGCCTTACCAGTAAGTTTTCTTATATGCACATTATACTACGTGTACCTTACCATGGATCTATGTACAATGAATCTATATGTAGGTTCACAGCATACAGTCATGTAGCTGCAAAACTGTGGCTCTCTGCTATAGCTCTCTAACTGTAGATCTCTGAAAATTCGGACAGATAAAGCAGAGAGCTACAGATTCAAGTGTTTTAAAAAAACTTTCGGTTTACGCTATACCGATTTTGTCACTCATGTCAGGTATTATATTTCTTGTATTTAATGATTTTCCCAGCTTTAAAAAGATATCTTAAGTTTATTAAAATTTTACTTTATTTTTAGATAAATAAGCTGATTTAAAATAAAATGAATTTTGTAGGACACTAAAAAGTATTCAATCAGGGAAATCAATAATTTAAAGCCAACATTTTATTCTTGAATATTAAAACTCTCAATAGTTTAAAAATTTGAATGACAAGTTTTTTAAATTTTGGTTAATTAAAAAATAAGAACACGTCAATTGTCTCATAATAGCACGTAGAATGCTAGCAGATCGAGAGGAGGGGATAGAGGGCTGACCCCTCCTTATTTTCCGAAGACAAGTTTATAGCTATTAAACTATGATGGAAGTTTTGATAAATGACGAATATGTGTATCGCAAAAAAAGTTATGTTAGAATGATCATCAGTTGTACTGAATCTGTATCTATAGACCAATCATTAGCATATGAAAGAGGGGGTATTTGGCGGTCATAATATAACGTATGTGATGAATGTCTTTGACAGTGACATAACAGTCATGAAATGGGGGGGGGGAGTGGAGGTGGCAATAAAAGAATTCAAATTACCTGAGAAAACTTGACAATCAAAAAAATGGAAAAGAATATTGTCCAAACTCGAAAATCCTATTTTGGAGAGAGATAGAGAGGGCGGAGTCTAGGTTTCAACTTCTTTTATAAACCTTTTTTCATTCCAACATTACCCTTATTATAATAACCTTGTTTGTCTTCAGTAGCTTTGTACCGGTATTTGATACGGAATGAGAGATCGAGTGATAATAGAAGGGTTTTTGCCTCCTCCTCCTCCCCCCCCCCCCACACACACACTTCCTCGCCACATTATATTTCTCCAATCAATACCATTAGGCCAAACAAAAAAATAACTTTGTTTACTGTTACATGCTGAAATAAAATAGGGTCGGTAGGTAGGAAATTTTTTTTATTTTATTGAATTTTTTTATACACAAATTCATACGAATTGGAATATTACAAGACAGTTTTTCCATTGTATGGTGCCTTACTTTTGTTTGGGCTTGTAATATGGGTGGTAGACAATATAATCTTTCTTGCCAACTGCCTTACAACTCAGGGGTGTGCAATTGAAAAAAAAATCAAGTAATGAACCACAGGCTTGTAACAGCAATAAAGTTACTAGTCCGAAGTTAAAAGTGACCAGTCCAAATATAGGGGCAAAAAATTGTAAAGAATAATATTTTAAAAAGTTCATTGTTGACAAAGCCAGGGTCCTAATCCATTCCTTTTAAAATTGAAGCTTAAAAATTTTAAGAAATTATCTTTTCTTTTCTGAACATATTGCACTAGTCTAGCTTATCTAAAATGAAGCAAAAATCATTTTATTTTATTTTTAAACCATAAAGTATAATTGGTATATATTAAAGTTTAATCACATAACACTAAGCTATCATACACATATAATTGAAAGAGATATCTGCCCATTAACAGAGGAATGGAGGAAATTCTGATTAGGAAAAAACGATCATTTTTTAAGTAATAAAGTCAGGTAGTACTGCAAAATGGATGAGATTAAAGTGATTTAAGAACAGTAGGAGCATGCTGCCTGGAAAATTTTCATTAGTTGGAAATTAAAGAGCAAAACAATGAGTAAAAATACCGTTTGTGTTTCTCATGTATTTATAATGATACATGCATAATTTTCATTTTATTTTTTTACTACCCCCCCAAAAAAACGGTAGCACCGGCCTTTGGGCGATGCTAGTTGCACACCCCTGCAACTGCCACGCAATGGTAAGCAAATTGCAAGGAACTCGTTCATGTAGATCTTGAACTCACTGGTTTTGTTTCTGTACTTTCAATTTGGATTTCAAAGATAAATGTAAAAGTTAAACTGACCGGCCAGTAACTTCCGGATTTTTATGACGAAAAAAAAGTTTGGGTCGGCGATTAAAATTAGGGTCGGTCGGGTAACCGTAAACAAACATATTTTTTTGTTACGCCTTATGATAAAATCCAAAATTTGTATTAGGTAATATCCGGAACAGCACAATCGAAATTTATAGCATATATGAAAAGAGGCCTATGGGTAACATTTCTTGTTTCATTTTTGTAAATCATCAGCTCATAAACGGACTTCTGAGAAACCAGAAATTGTCGCTTATACTTGCAAAGTCCAAAATCATAAGCATCAAAACACACTTAAGATGATCTTAGGACAGGTATTATGTTGTCCTAAAGTTAGGAAAAACTTAAGCAATTTCCTAAATTTAGGAAAGCTTCGAGAAACTGACTCAAGACTAGGACATTTCCTAAGACGTTCGTAGCACACATCGTAGTCCTAAGATAGCTTCGTGAACATGCCTGCTGTATCAAATATATTTGTTTACTTTTCAACGGTTCCAAAAGGCCGTTTGTGGTTACGGACGTCAAAATGAGAATCTTTTAAAACCACATTCCAAAACCATAAAGGACTGTTTCAGATCGTAGAAAGGGAAATCTAGTATCAATAGTAGGAGTAAAATATATGATTGGGTAGCATTCTAAAAGCGAGGGAAAGGATAAAATACAAGAAATAATGCCTAAAGTGAGCGACAAAAAAGCGGCGGCGTAAATCGAAGCGGAGTGCTGCAGCTTACTGCCCCGTACAAAGAATGACTTCACTGACTTCAGAGTAAATACCTGCTTCTTACAACTTTCAGTCAAGTGTTCGTTTGAAATAAATCTCCAGCAGTTGTCACACAATTTTTGGAAGATGCAAATAATAAGTGCATGTTATGAATGTCTAATTATAATATATGTAAAGAAAGGCTGGATAGAAATTTTGATTTTTTATAAAACACAATAATCGTGAATATTTTTTTAAACTTATGGTTAAAAACTTTACAAAGCGGTCATAACTAGGCAGAACATGTAAGTCACATATATGTTAATGAGAAATTGAAATATAGCTGAGCTCATTTTTGATCCCGGCGAGATTATTACAAAAAACATTTTTTGAAAAGTAAGACTATAAAGGTAAATAATGAGATCATATTCCTTTAATTTATTGCCCTTGGGGCATAATCATTGCGTTTTGCAATTGATTGCAAAAATGAAATCTATAGTTTTCTTGCAATGTAGCATGAAAGCAAGTCTAGTTGATGGTTAACTGAAACTTGACCAAGAAATAAAAAAGTTTTTGTATTATTGTCAAAAGAATGAATTCTTTTTATATGATGACGTTTAAATGTACCGGGTATAGATTCTAATACTTGTATCATTCTCAGGCGGAGAACAGAATAAACTGCTCAAACAGAGACCGGAAGTTACATCAGTAGTCAGGCATCAGAGAAGGCATCCACTCGGATTCAACGTAAATCTCTATAACCTACAAAATGCTCAGAACAAACCAATAAACGAAAGACTTTTATCAAGCTCCCGTACATCGAAGACCTCGGGAGAACCATGTCCGACCGAGCAGTCAGAAGTCCATTGGAAGGAAGATGTAGGCATTGTAAAGAAGCGAAAGTTTGACTGGAGGGCGTATCTCGCCTCCTTGCAGTTCACAGAAGATACTCATCCGCCCCATACATTATCACATAATCCTAATTTAATAAGGCGCCCAAGGATTCATGTCTCTCCACCATTAAAAGAAACAGAACTGCTATTTAACAACTTCACAAAGCAATTGATCCTTAGGCAAATGATTTTTCCTACGATTAAAGATCAGTATATTTTTTACATGAAGAATTTTCCTCTTTTGCTTGAAAGAAAAAGAGATGAAGATATTGTAACTAAACCACGAAAAAGAACACCATCTCCCAAACCCGTGGCAGGACCAGAATTAAAGCGCGGAATTGAGCTGAAATGTCGTCTTATTGATCTTCAGCGTGATGTCTATGCCTTAGAGAGGGAAGAACCGGATATCCTTTTTGAAACAGAACTCCGGGACAGCGTGTTCGATCCTACAACCTGGGATTGGAATAAAATTGTGTGGCCCTTCTACATCCCCAAGCCATCCCGAGAGAGTAGGAGACGGAGATTAATATCCCCCATATAAAGCAAACCATCATGTATTCAATTTAATTCATTATTTCTTGATTGGAGACTCCAACAAATAAAAGGCACCTTATAGTCATCTTCTAATTCACTGTCCTCATTATGCCGTAAATAAATTGATCTGCTGGTGCTTTCTTTTCAGAATAAAAGCTTTACAATGATGTTCAAGTTTTTTTCCGCCTAAAATTCTGCTTTTACAATGGTGTTAGAGCTTTCCTTTAAAAGTGTTCTTGATCTAATTATAATTGTAGCCAGTTTTTTCTAATATTAAAAAAACCCATATACACAAGTATTTGGAGGTAATTTCAACCAACTATTGTGGTTCCATTAAGCCATATTTAAACAAAGTATAAAAGAAGCCTTTCATATTTTCTGACCTAGAGATTCTTAATAACAGTTTCCATTTAATCAATGCAAATGAGTAAAGCTAACACGGACCTCAGAAAATAGAGGAGGGATGAGGTGCAATGAAGGAGTAAGCATCCCCTGTATTCCTTTCACACCAGCTATGTGTTCATTGTCATGGTCGGGTGAACGGGAAAATGCGTAGCCAATTCAGGATGAGAAATAATGTCTTAATATTGTGTGGAAGACGTTAGTAAACAACTAACAGTTTGTATTTGTAAACAAGGTTAGATTAACGGCCAGAGATTTTTTTTTATTTCAAACGAAATTGTTGATTTTCTGGTATCTTCAATTAATTTGTCCATAAACTTCCTTGTTTTTGGAGACCAGGTATTCCAACAATCTATTGGAATTCCCATGGGTACAAATTGCGCTCCGTTATTAGCAGACTTATTTTTATATTCATATGAAGCAGAATTTATGCAAAATCTTATGCGTGAAAAGAAGAAAACACTTGCTGTGGCCTTCAACTCGACATTTAGATATACCGACGACGTATTGTCAATTAATAATTATAATTTCCATTCCTACGTCGACACGATATATCCTGGTGAGCTTGAGATAAAAGATACCACAGAGTCCGACACTTCTGCTTCATACTTGGATATTTTACTTGAAAAAGACACTAATGGTAATCTAACAACCAAGCTATATGATAAACGTGATGACTTTAACTTTTCTATCGTCAACTTCCATTACTTATGCAGCAATATACCTTCATCACCTGCATACGGAGTATATATATCTCAGTTGATTCGATACGCAAGAGCATGCTCTACGTATGAACAATTTCTTAAACGAGGTAAATTATTGACAAGCAAGTTGATGAAACAAGAATATCAACAGTCTCGTTTAAAGTCATCATTTCGTAAATTCTATGGTCGATACAATGACCTTGTCAGCAAATACAATTTATCATTGAGTCAAATTCTCACTGACGTTTTTCATACCAATTGTTAGTCCATTATTTATACACTGAATTGGCGACGGATTTTTTCCGTTATTTCCTGATCATGACAACGAGCACACGGCGGGTGTGACCGGTCGGCAGGGGATGCTCACTCCTCCATGGCACCTGATCCCACCTCTGATGTTTCGGAGGTCCGTGTTTGTTCTGCTCTTATTTTGTATATTGTTTAATGGACGTTGAGATTGAATACTGTTCGTGATTTCCATATCCTTCTTTTAGAAAGCTTTTTTATGTAGAACGTGCTCCTTCCTTTCATATCAAATTCTTGGAGACATAAACTTCATATGCAGACGAAAAATGCATAAAAATTGCTGCATAAATGAGGTTTGCGATAGACCTGTCGAAAAAATCATCAAGTTAAGTCGTCGGTTTTGTCAACGTCTTTAATTATACGTCCAATATATTGAGCAGGTATTTGTCAGACTCTGTGGGTTTTCTTTTCTAATTTTGATTTCAACTTGATATTAAATTTTAAGTTTTAAAAAAGGAATGAATTTGTGACAAAAGGAAAATACATTTTAATACCAAGTATAAGCATGACAGAATTCCAGTATTTCAGTACTTTTAGCTTGTAAATATGTTTTGTCTTACTCATTATAAATCTGTTGAATTCACTAGGGTTCAAACACACAAAGATACAATATTACAAAGATACTTTAATGACAAAACAAAATGAATACTATAAATCAATTGAAATTATTGAAACATACTATAACATTTTTTTTTTTGAAAATGAAATCTTCCCTAGGGAAAAAAAAATAATTATCGCACATGAAGGTGAAAAAACCTCCACAGTACATAAATGTTATAACTGATGTATTATAAAAATGCATGTACCAGACAAATACGTCAATTATGCAACCGCTTTAATTATTTTATGCATTGTTGGATTACAATATTGTACATTAGCAATAAATTAATGGTGATGTCAAAGTCTATTATAAAACTCAAACAATGGACAAATAAATAACATGTACACATAAAAGTATACAAGGATCATGACAACTCCTAAAAAATTAAAACTACGACATCGAGGCATAACTTCAACATTTATACATAAAAAAGTATGAAAATTGACAGAAGTTGCTAGAATATAAACAATTTTATTCTTAAACATTTTCTATACTCTTTGGGGGTGTTTTGATAGATGTCTCTTAATATTCTTTTTTCAGTTTATTCGCCCTATATAAATGCAGATAAATGAACTCACTCAATGAAACATATGGAGTAAACAAACAGTATTCAAGATCAAAAGTCCATAAAACAATACAAAATGGAAGCAGAGCAAACGCGGACCTCCAAAACATCACAGGTGGGATCAGGTGCCATGGAGGAGTGAGTATCCCCTGCCGACCGGTCACACCCGCCGAGTGCTCCTTGTCATGATAATAAAGGAAAAATCAGTCGATTCAGCTTAAAAATAATGAACTAACAATTAGTATGAAAAACGTCAGTCAGCATTTGACTCAATGATAAATTGTATTTGCTGACAACGTCATTGCATCGACCATAAAACTTACGAAATGATGACTTTAAACAAGACTGCTGATATCCTTGTTTCATCAACTTGTTTGTCAATAATATACCTCGTTTTAGAATGTGTTTATATACATTGCTTATTGAATCAACTGAGATTTATAAACTCCTTTTGATTCTTCAAACCTCTCTGAAGTCGAATAAGATTGATTGATTGATTATATATCTTTTAACGTCCCATTCGAGAATTTTTCACTCATATAGAGACGTCACCACATGCCGGTGAAGGGCCTAAATTTAAACCTATACTCGGCACTCAGGGCCATTGAACAGTGAGGGTTGTTTAGTGTGCCAACGCCTACCGAGACATGGGACCTAAGTTTTTAAGGTGATATCCGAAAGACCCGTGACTTTCACTTCTAATGCCGAGTGCCTGGCGAAGGAACAGTCACTACATTTACCTATGTTTTCGACTTAGGTTTGACACGGCGCCGCGAACGAGAATCGAACCCGGGCCTCCCGATCACGAAGGAATAAGATAGATAGAAATTCAAATAATATGACTTTCTTAGGATCAGATAGCCGACTGATAATCAAATTAACTTTTGGAATAATGACAACGGTACGGTTACTTCCCCATGGCAGCTTATCCATGTCTGTAACTGCTCTGCAAACAATATACATTGATTAGCTGGATTTTAAGGATGGTATCACATCTGTTCACTAACGTTTTCATACAAATTGTTAGGTCACTATTTTCACATCGAATTGTCGACTGATTTTTCCGTTAGTTCCCGGTCGGCAGGAGATGCTCAGTCCATCATGGCACCTGATCCCATCTCTGAAATTATGGAGGTTCGTGTTTGCTCTGTTTCAATTTTGTATTGTTTTATAGACTTTAAGATTATATGCTGTTCGTTGTCTCCATAAATTTCATTTCTTTAGATTGCTTGGTAACCCAAACAGATTGAAACCCTGGAATAAGAAATATATCAATTTGTTCTCTTAAGGCTAAATATAGAATGCAGGTTATACAGTTGTATGCTGGCATCCAATTTTCGGCAATCACATGAAACATCATTATTTATAAATCTGAGTACATTTACGTCATTGTTATCACGATTTCATAAACAATTGCGTTAAAAATAAAAACTTATTTGCTCTATTTAGGACGTGTCACTTGAGTTATTTCAGATTTGATAAATGCTACAAAGAAGTAAACCGAGGAATTTGTCTCAAACCTAGACTGTAAAAGAGACATCAAGTTCATTATAAAAAAGTCTCCGTTGGCTCCAAAGTTATTTTTAACTAGTAGCAATAAAAAAGTTGAACATTGTATAGTTGCTGGAATATAAACAGTATGGATAAAAAAATTACATTACATTTGAAAAAATATGCTGACGATTAAGTGCTAGTAGTAGCTACAAATTTTGAAAATATGTTCTAAGAAAAGAAACTTAATAATATATATTTTTAGGATAAAACAGGCGAATTAATACCTGAAAACCTCTCAGTCAAATCCCCATAGATGTCATTAATATTTGTATTCATTTATATCAAATAGAAAGATATGTGCGTTATATAAATGCTTAAATTCCTAGCTGAAAAAAATGTAAAGTTATATAAGGTAAGATAATGTGTTGGTTATCTGCTCAATAGGTCTAGTTTCTACGAAACAGATCTAGTCATAACAGAATAGAAAAAGCAAAACTATCAATTGAATAAGTGAAACAAATGTTACTGATACGTTCATAAAGTAAGTAAATCAAGCAAACAACAAACGTAAAAAATATTTTGCCATTACAGAGATTCATGTTATTTAAGTCAGGAAGAAGCTATGATCAATCACTTTCTTTTGCATGAAAAGTGAAATATGAAAGAAATGAAAAATGTAAAATGGTTTCTGTAAATGGTTGAATGTTTCGTGAATGCACATATAAACCAGTACAGTTATATTATGCTCGGTTTTTACAAATACATACAACAAACATAAATAAACACGATGAGTAACAATTTGTGAGGCTTTGGTAACTAGCTCCTTGAGATGACGATTTGATGAATCTGTACTTTCCTAGAAAGGACAGTAGAGGTTTTTTTTCCCCAACAAAATCAATAGATTCACACTTGTATGTGTCATCTATTTTCATCACTTCTAACTTTCGAAGACTTATTTACGATGTATTCCCTCAATAAAAAGTTCACAACATCGGATACAGAGGTATATTCAGGGCATTCTTTCTTCTTTAAAAACATAAAATATAAAGATAGGCGTCTATACTCCTTTTTGAGCAATCACACCTTTAGAGAAGGTATTATACATGTAACAAAAACATTCTGAACGTGTCATTTACCAAAACGATATTCATTCAGGATATCATATAACTTGGGTAGATCTTGTCCTGTGAAGTCATCATCAGATTCAAACATGAGATCCTCGACAGGATCAACTGATGTCTTTTTCACTTTGTCATTAGATCGTGAAACAGTCTTCGTCTTTCTAGAAATATGACTAGCCTTAGTTTCCTTGTGTGAACTACCTTTATCAAGTTTTTCTGTTTTTCCTGTTAGTTTTGTATGAGATCTCATCGAGTATTTCTTTTTAAACCTTTCAAACGGATTAAGGGTGGTTGGATTGCCTTTTCCCTTGTTTGAATACTGTTTATTAGTCTTTTTAGCATGTGGTCTACTTTTCTCTAATTTCTGTGGCTTTTGTGCAGAATTAGAATAAGTCTGTAAAGTTGTTTTCGGTTTCAAAGCTCCCTCTGTACCCAAAATAAGTTGCTCCTCATCTTTGATTAGTTTTCCTAAGGTCATTTTTTCTGGCTTTTGCATGAAACGTGAAAACAGTGCATGGTGTAGTAATTGAATTGGAATTCTTGGTATGTTATTCTCTTGAAAATCAACTTTGCCTTTATATTTGTTGATTTCCCTTGCCTTTGAGGTATTTGAAGTAGGAATTTCCAACATTGTATGAAGTGGATTGGTTTCTTTTAACTCTAATTGACGTATACTTGGCAAACTAAGGATAGTTTCAACATTCCGATGAGTCGGTGTAGTCATTACATTATCATGCTTTGTTGTGGTTACCATATCGTCTATAGTAGGTTGTTTAGTCGTTGTATTCATTTGTGTTTCACTTGTAATATCCTCTGATGTTGGCATTGTTGTATAAACTTCAGATGAACTTACTATCGGGACTGTTGTTGTATTTATCATTACAGTATCGTTTGTTGTGGATTCTCCCGTTGATGTTGGTTGTGATAAAATCGTCGTGTCGTTGTCATCGTCGTCTATTTCTTCAGAATCATTTAATGACTTGGGTCTTATTACATCCGTCTCATTCAAAATTTCAAACACAACATTATCAGGATCTGATATATCAGCAATTAGGGTTCTGTTTGTCTTATAATCATCGTCTACATTATTCGGGTTGAAGTAAAACCTTGGAATGCTTGAAGGCCAGCATTCACCATCGTATACTTTTATTACTCCCCTGAAAAAAAGAAAACAATGTAATACACTATTCAGAAGTCCTCACCATTGATTGGAGTTTTTTTCTATATATATTTCTGACGTTGCATGACTTTAGAAATCAAACATGCATGTATGGCTTCATGTACGTACGTATTACTTACGAGTGACAATGTAATGTGCAGTTATTAATGTATGTTCTTGTAAACATATCAGCATCTGTACCACAAACTGGTTTCCAGTCAGTTGGACAATCACACCCACGGTCTACAAAGAATATCAATAGACTCACATTGATTCCTCATAAATCATGGAAAATCCCTATTGTTTGATAAAAAAAACTCTTTTATGACTATATAAAAATCATTATCAGTACAGAAAGATTACTATTTATAAGTTATACATGTGCACGGTGTGAACTCATCCAAAAGTTTTTTGTTACCTTTGCAGGCATAAAACTGGGGACATGTGGTGTTGTTTTTGTCGGGGCAATCTTTGTTGGGTACACTAATGCACTGTTCTGTTGAGTTACATGGATTGTTCTGAATAGAGAAAATCAAGCATGCCTTAGAATTCTTTTAAAATCAAATGTTATCTATAAAGAAGAATGTCCGGACTCAAAATGAAATATGGTTTATTAACAATGCAAATTCAAGGAAAACTAAGCTGTTTCAATATAGAAGTGAACTTACTGCGCAAGGGTCCGGTGCACAATCGCATCTAGGACAAGAGCCTTGTAAGAAACCAAATGGACAATGGACAGAATTAGAACAGGGTTCATCACATTCCTTTGGAGCTGAAACGTACACAAACAAGAATTATTAACTATAAAGTACACAAAACCCCCCAAAAATAATTTATTTTGAAGATGACAGTAAAATGGTTAAATTTGCTATACCTTCACAGATATTTAATTGTGGACATTTGGTAATGTTTTGGTCGGTACATTCTTCGGAGGGTACACGAATACATTTTTCGTTTAAGGAGCATGGGTTGTCCTGAAATCAGAATGAAACTTTTTACTAAAGGACAGCCTAATTAAACCTTTCTTTAACAGAATCTTTTGTTTTCTTAATTACCAACATTTTTATAAACAGATGTTAGATGTGATGTTTGAAATCGTTGCTTTTTTGTGACCCCAAATTACATGTTCTCAAAATATTGTGCCTTAGTAAGTCAAGAACTGAGCTTTGTTTTTTCATATTTAATACGAATGGTAAAAAAAAAATAACGTATATATGTAAATCTAAATATTGCAGCAAATACTTTATTAGAACAGAGGACTTACTGCACAAGGGTCCGGGGCACATTCACATCTTGGACAGACACCCTGTAGAAAACCAAAGGGGCAATGGAGAGGTGAAGGACACAGTTCGTCACACTCCACTGAAGCTATAATATAAAGAATATTATAAAGAATCTGGACCTAATTAAATATTGGTTTAATGGTATTTGCGTAGAATATTATATCTTTTCTATTTTCCGTAATTGATTGGCGAAAAGTTTTTTTTAAAGATGATCTGTTTTATATAAGATAAAAATGGAGTATAAATCAGATCAAATAAAAAAAATAACCGCTTGCTGTTATTCTTCTCCAGAAAACCTTATTTTTTTTATTTTTAATAAGTCATTTTCAAAATGCACAAAGATAATAAACGATGATATACACAATATATATAACTTGGATTCAAAATAAAAAAAAATCATAAAAAAAAGTATTTAATCCAAGAAAATTTTGAAAGTAAAAATTATCAGATTTTCGTGAGCAACGCATTTAATTCTTTATTAATTGTCCATTAATGAAAATGCACTTTTAATGAAAATTGCATTATTATTTTAATATCGTGATCAAATATTCGAAAAAGTTCATGGTTCCAACTGCTTTTCAATGTTTCAAATTAAACCTTTGTTCCACACTTGCCTAACAAAATTAATAAAAAGCATTATTTAATATGCATTTTCCAGTTTATTGCTAAATTGTTTTTTTTTAATATATTTCTAAATTAAGAGATTATTCATTTATTGTTACTCAATAACATTTTCTGTAAAATTCAAGGATATATACCTACTACACAAAGCCTTGACCAAACACGTGAACTACTAGCACTAGGAAGAGATTTGTCACAGGCAAAAAGCACGGCGTTTCTATCTCAGATAAATTTTATAACAAGATGGAGATAAGCAAAACATCACCATTATCATTTCAGAGGCCCGTCTTTGCTCTGCTCCAAAATGTGTATTGTTTAATAGACTTTTAAGCTTGAATACTGTTGCTATCTCCTTATATTTCATATAAGCAAATTCTTGACACAGTTAATTAAAAGTTCAACTAAAAGAAGAAAGAAAGTATCTCATTAAAATGTTAATTTTAAGGCAACAATGAAAGGGATGACAAGTTCCTCTCTGTTAGAAATAATTGTTGCTGTTTTTTAAAAGCATTCTTTTTCCACTTAAAAGGTAAGAGGTACCACCAGGGGTATACAGAATATTAAAAAGAACACCTCGTGGGCAATAAAAAAAGGTTTTTAAAAAATTCCACAAACAATATTAATATGTGATTGGCATAGAACACGAACCCCTAGAAATTCGAGGTGTGGAATAAGATGTCTAGGAGGTGTAAGATTCCTCCGTAACTACTATTTGTTTTTTTAAAGTACAAAATGGTCACTGGACCCATAAATGTATTGAATTAATTATATTTTGTTGAAGTGACGAAAGGTTATCCATAAATTATACCTCACTGAAAGTTAAAAAAAACATACACACACTGAATTTGCATTTCGGTGCATTTTTTTTTACCTTAATCGTTGGAAAGAGTAATTAAAAAGTATGCTATGAATTTTATGGTACTGCATTACACAAATATAAACCTTTAATTAAGCATCCAAAAGTTATGCATAAATAATTTAATTTAGTGAAAAAATTTTCACTTTTTGATATATTTGTGACTTAACTTGATACATTAAACCAAACTGATGGATTTAAAGGTTTACAATACCTCTTTACATTACTAGTCAACTTAACACAAATTTCAGACATTCTGGCAGTCTCTTTATTATCTCGATCATATATTGGAAGACATTATTTCATTTAATGAATTTCCCACGTATTCTATTTCCGTCTTTTAACATCTACTTTTCACATGGTACTTCTAACTAACTAAAAACTGAAACACACTTAAAGTAAAACACTATCTAATTTAGTAAAATAATATTATTTAAATTTATTTGATTCGGCATCTCATCGTATATACAATAGAAAAAATGCACTTAAAATTAATACTAAACATAAAAATGGAGGGAAATAATAACAACTTATTTCTTTTTGCGATAATGTAGCTTTTTCGAATCAGCTAAAAACCGCAAAGAACGCTTTAAGCAATTAAACTGGAAAAGTAACATGATTGACCTGAAATGATAATACAAAAACAGTTACAGGTTTGGGAGTTTACAGTTTATTGACGTTTTGATGATTGATATCGTGTTATAGATGAAAATAGGACGTGTGAAAAGGCCATAAAGTATAAAAAGTCTTGTCATGTATTTCATTGATTTAAATGAACATTGATATAATCATTATAAGAAAATGCAATCTAATTAGAAATAAGTTAAGTTATACTCATAAAAGTAGTAACGCGGTTTATGAAATTAAAATGAAATATTTAGATTTAATTTCACTTTTCCCCTGTATGCTTTTTTAAAAAAAAAATTCTAATCAGGACGTTTTTTGAATTGCTATTTATTTAAAGCTTCTAAAATGATTTCTGTCTTGAGCAGTAATTGACTAGATGTGCAATTTAAATGCAAAGCAATTTGCAGCATGTGTTTCAATACTCCTTATTTAGAAAAACATCTCGGAGAAACATTGAAGAAAAAGATCTTACCATTGTTCAAATTAGTAACATCATCAATTTCGGCTGCTTTAAAATCAACACTGGTATCAACTTTTCCTGAGATGTTTATAAAGTTTCCACGAAAACTCTGAATCACTTCGGGAATTAAAGGCTGTTTCTCAAAGTCTTCTAATAGAGCACGAAATCCTATAGGATCCTTAAACCGTTCTATTAGAGCCGTACTACCATGATCAGTGCTGGATTGTATTTGATTTTTGAGAAAAATCCGTGCTTGTTTATTTGTGTCAACAAAAGGTTCTCTTTCTAAATTTTCTTCTTTAGGAATTTGTCGAGGATTTCCAGAATGGTGATGACTATGCACAATATCAGGTTTCCTAAGATGATCCTTTTCTCTTCGAATGTTCGATGATCGTAGATCAGGATGAAAATCACTTTCTCCCTTGTGATGACTTGGGAATTTGGTATGCTCTGAGTGAGTGCTTGGCGGATGGGAACTTTGATGAGAGTTAACATTGTGATGTGGACTGCGATGTTCTGGGTGAGTTTTCGAGGTTTCGGATTTATGTCGAGAACGATCCCCTCCTGCTCTCATTCTGTTTAAAATGTTAATGATTTCTGTTACAGGGACTGGAGTAACAGGCGGAGGCTGAGGATTGGAAAATAGATGAAATGGAAGAGGTTGTTCAAAGAAATTGTTCTGGATGGATTGTGGAATCGAAAGACTGCCTCTTCCTCTGTCTAAAATATTTTCAATGTCACTAAAAGGTATACCAAGAGGAAACGATGGAGCCATGGGCACCGGATTGACATGTCGTACTCCTGGAACACTCTGGCCGGGGGGAGACGCTGGTCCATGAAGGGAGGAAAACAGTGTGAATAAATTCAGAAAGTGGTTCATCGTCAACACTACAACAAATATGTTAAGGATAACTGCTAATGATTGCTTCAACAAGCTGAAGATTATAAAGGTTGATTGATTAGACTATGTAAGTATTGAATATTTATGAACAAACTCCTTGAGTAAAATTTATGAAGATAAAAAAGAATGATGGTAAATATCAAATCATATGATAGACATACCGGTGTATAATTTTAAAGTCTGTCTTAATATTTGTTCAATTCATTTAAGATTTCATCATTGATGTTTCAAATTTTGAATATTTTTTATTATGTTTTTTTTAATTATAAAAATCCAAACCAAATCTTTCGTACATTTGCTCGTACATTGACATATTTTTTTCTTTACAAAATAAGCAAATATGTTTAAATTTTGACTGAAGAAATATTTAAAGAAAAAAGGGGAAACCAAAAGTAGTTTCAGCATCTTTTAGTTATTATGTCCTGCTCTTACGAGCAAAGAGAATGTACTATTGTTCAAATTGTGAATCATTTGATGGAAGGTTTACGCTGACATTTGTAATGTGTATGATTAATCAGCCTCTTTAATCTGCCTAATATGAAATTTAATTAAAACCTTTCCCCTGCAGCGCTTAAAAACACCATTCAAAATTAAATCAATGTTTTCAAAACATTACGTTTCGATTTCTTAACCCACTTAATAAAATATTGTTATCTAGAAAGAAATCACAAATATATGTGTATTTCAAAAAATTAATGATAAAAATCTGATAGAATATTGACAGCTTACACAAATAATTAACATTTTACACAATTCGTGCATGTATGTGTACAGTTCAACTGTAATAGAGTTTCTAAAGATGGTATCTGTTATTTTTTTCTTAAGTAAAAAATACCTGCTGTCTTGGATTAGGTGGCTAGGATACCACTATTCTGCTTTGGTATCATATTACACAATCCTATGGCGCCTTGACGAAGTCGACTGTTTAATTTCCAACACTGTCACACTTACGTAAAGCGTTATATTCCTCTTGTATAATGAGTTAAAAACTTATTTGCTGAAAAAAGTCATAACACTTCATTGTTAATCCATAATACAGCATATATCGTCTATTTCTTCTATATGGATTACAGTCATTTGTCTTAGTGCTGCATTAACAGTCTGAGTAAGAAAAATTGCTTCATTAAAAGCATTTCCTGGCCAGTCTCAAAAAACAGTGTCATGCCCTCTGCTTTCTAACTAAGTTATGTTTACCGCGACACGCTAATTTATGTTTTTTACATAATAAATGAATGCATGCGTTTCTCATAAAGACACTTCGTACCTAACTCTTAATTGCTTCGTAACAAAGTATTCTTATAATATGAAATAGACGTCACATAACCAAAGTATTTTATACGATCTATAATATCTGCGTCATTAATAACGCTTTGCATCGATTACACTGTGATCAAATTAAAAGAATATTATACTTTAAAAAACATGGTAATTTTAATACTGTAAAAATAACATGAATGCTAGTATTTAAAAAAAGATGAAGGGAAGTTTAAAAAATAAGACGGCACAAGACGCATGGCTACGCTCAGTTGGTTTATATCTCTCAGTTGATTTGATACGCAGGAATGTGCTTTACGTAGGAAAAAATCTATAAGTTATTGACAAACACGTTGATGAAACGAGAATATCAGTAGTCTCGTTTAAGCTCATCATCTCAAAAGTTGTATGGTCGATACAATGACCTTGACGGCAAATACAATTTATCAATAAGTGAAATGTTTACTAACGCTTTCATTCAATTGTTTACCATTATTTACACATTGAATCGTTCCCTTATTTCCCGATCATGACAAGGAGCACACGACGGGTGTGACCGGTTGGCAGGGGATGCTCACTTCCACCTCGATCTGATTTTTAGAGGTCCATCTCTCCTCTGCTCCGCAATTTTGATAAATGGCCTTTGAGCTTGAATGCTGCTCCTTTTCTCTATAGATTTCATTATTCATTCATTTTTTGAACACTTACAGGATAGCAGAAATGGAAACAATAAAGCAGAAACCAACAAAAGACAAAGATTATATCGAATTTTAAAGTGGCATATATTTTGGGACATATTTGTTGTAGAGATGCATAATTCGAATCTCTGAAATACTTCGGGTCTTAAGATATCGTAGGCTTTTTGTTTACATTTCTTCGTTTTTTCACCAATAAAGTTTCTAGTAATAGAATTTTTACTTAAGAAACAATTTATCAGTACATTTATTTCCCTTTCAGTGATCATTTGGAGACGTTTCCAAGAACTGCAAATGGCTGGAATATTAGGTATTTTTCCGACATTCAAGGCATGAAAGATGAAAGTTATATTAGCAGTGAGAATTTTTTTCGTCTCAGTAACACAATACAAAGTGCCGATAACTTTGCGAAGGAGCAGTTGCTTCCTAATTTAATCCACTGAGGTTACTTGCGGTACGGAGCTTGAATCCATGAACGGCAAAAACATGAAACAGGCGATGTGCCTATACTTGAAATAAAGAAAGAAATACTTATATCAGATCAGATGATATTATAATACCAATTATTTTTGGAGGACATTATAGATGAGCTTTGAAATCCATAACTGATAGCTCTAGAAAAAATGTACAATTGATCGATTTTATACAAAGATTTCAGAAATCCTGTTTAAAGTCATCATTTTCATTGACAAAATTCTACAGTCAACAAAATACAACCTTAGCAAATGCAATTTATTGATAAGTTGATTGTTGACTTACTTTTTTGATATAAAAATCGTTAGGCCAATATTCTAACATAAAAAGGTGATAACGACCAGTGACACATCTTCAAAGATATTTATAACAATATAATCTGTAAATAGGAATGAAACATGGACTCTTAACATTTTGAAGGTGGGATCAGGTGCCCATGAGGAGTAAGTATTTAACCTGTTGCCCGGTCATGCCCATCTTAAGACCTATGTATTCTCCAGGCAGACCGAATGTTTACATATTTTTCCGTTTTTCTGAGAAACAGACTGCAACTGTTACCGGTTGACAGGGAATGCTTACTCCTCCATGACACCTGCTTCCACCTCAAGCCACAAGACCAGAAACTGAGAACAGACGTAACTCAAAATTTCGATTTTGATCAGCTATACAATCATAAAACATATGTCATTAAAAAGTTGCAGGTTTTTATAATGTTCCAAATTAAACATATGGTAAAAATTTTGTTTCATTATCAAAATTATTTCAAAAATTATATTGATTTGAAATTTCGACTTAAGTCTGTTCTCAGTAAATGGTCTTGGGGCCTGGTTTTTGTTTTCGAGGTATGTGTTTGCTTTTCTCAAAACGTGTATAGTTCCATTGAAATGTTGATCTTGATAAATGTTATCTTCAAATATTATGATAAATGAAATGCTCTCTAATAGATCTTCATAAAGACGGTAAAATTGAAAAAAAGGATTTATCAAAGAAGAAATTCAGTTTTAAATCAACAATTAATCAAGATGTTTCTTTCTTCCAACACACTTAATCAAGTATAACATAACCCTTAAAACCCAACCTGATTAGGGGGTAAAGGGTTTTTATAACTTAAATCACAGACACTAACCCATTCATACATATAGGTTTTCACTCAAAAGACAGAAGAAAAGAGATGGAGAGAAAGAAAAACAAGAGAAATTCATAATTGACCAAATTTCCAAAGGAAAGCAAAAAGCTCTTACGTAGGTTGGTTAACCTCTTCTTTTCCTTATATAACTAATGTGTTTTCTTATACATGTATGAAATATAAATAACCGAGAAAACGTAGGGTTATTTATATGTTGTAAAGAATATGAATTTCGCTGTCATATATTTCAATTCAATTCGTCTTCAACGGAAGGGGGGGGGGGGTTAGGGAGAGTATTAGTAATTAAAAATTTATGAAGGCAGTAAAAAATATTTTTAGCAAAACCCATATTATCAAAATTAATGCAGACGAAAAACACTTTGAACTATTAAAGGAACCATATTCATTAACAAAAAAATCTTAAATATACTCTAAAGGGATTGAAATTTAATTTAGTCGGTTAAATATGCCATAAAATAGTCATACTTACATACAATAAACATCAAAGAATTAAAAACAATTAAGTCATTGTTAAATCATTGTTTTGAGAAGTAAGTTTTTGGTTATTATGGTGTTTTCTTTGAAATCAAATCAAGACAATGCTATTTATTTAATTACTTGAACAAGAAATTATGATAATTCTATGGTTGAAATATTAACAATACTTAAGTTGTTTAAAAGTCTTAACGGCTTGATCTTGCGACATAATACGCTCCTGCGACATAATTGCGAGTGAGTAATATAACTGTTACAAAACATTGTGACATTAACTGCTTAAAAGCTACAATACCTGCTATAATGTGCATCTCAACACGTAAATAATTAGGCGATATTTTTCAAGTTGACATGCAAAAACAGTTTAAGTAATGTTTTTGAAACAAAATGTCTCCGTTTTGACCTAAATTTAAAAAATTGCTCTGTCTTTTCCACGAATGGGATTTGTAATAAATCTGGAAGTAGTTGTGACCTTTATTAAAAGTTAAAAGACGTCATATATATTGCTTAAACAGCATTTTAGGGGAAATTATTTATCAAATTAAAACAAGTTAGTTTCAATTGTATTGTTTAATGGACTTTTGAGCTTTAATACTGTTCATTGTTATGCTTAAGTGAAATAAACCTAATTTGAGCGTTGTTCTCTCATTAAGTGACAATATACCAAAGTGGTTTTGATTCAATGTTTTTTTTTTCATTGTTTAATTGAGGTATCTACAAAATCCAAAGGCTGATGATATTGATAATGTTTGCAGAAGAAAAGAATTCGAACTATTATGATGGTTAAATTTTTAATTAATATCTCTAAATACGTCCTTTTGATACAGGAACGTTCATTCATGCCAATCCTTTCGATAATATTTTAAAAATAATAATGAAAAAAAAAGTTTGACTCACTGAAAGTTTAACAATATAAATGAAGCACCATATACTTCATAACATCATCTGTCCAAATGAAAACTTTTAAAATGAAAAAGGACGGCGACCGATGTCATCAAAAACTTCATATATTTAAACATTGCAAAAATACGGACCCTATCAATTTCGGGTCGGATCAGGTACCAAATAGAATTAAGCTTTCCTTGTCGACTCGTTACAAATGAGCACTATGTATTGGTAGGTTAACATATTTTGATCTTTGAATTTCTGAAAGCGAACATTGATCGATGTAAAATCTCTTTTAACAGTACACATTAAGGTGCATGGAAAAAACACGAACCGCCATAAATTCCAGAGATAAGATCAGGTGGGTAGAGTATGCATCCTCTTTTGACCGATCAAGGTCGCCGTGAACCATGTGTCTTGAACAGATCAATGGAAATAATTCTTAAGCAAATTTAATATAAAACATTTGGTCGAACAATTCGAATACTAGTATATGATCCTTTGTCAGATTGTAGTGCGAGCAGTAAAAATAACGTGCAAGAATTTGCCAAATGCTGATTTTAAGAGAAGTTGAAGTTTGAAAAGTAAAAGTAGATCTAATCATGTTTATCATAGAGCTTTTTTGTTAGATTACCATTGACGTATTTTCTTGTAAAATTATCAAATATGAAACATATGAAACTTTGCGGTGTCTTTCAGTTCAAGCTCAGCAGGATATATCGTATCGTCATAAGAAATGGATATAAGCATTGTTAATTGACAATACCTTGTAACTAAATGTCGAGTTGAAGACCAAAGCAAGTGTTTTCGTCTTTCCACATTTTACATTTTGAAAAAAAATCTGCTTCATATGATATGAAAACAAAAAAATGGGGTGTTAATAATGTGGCGCAATTGGTACTCCTGGGAATTCCAATAGATTGTCCAAAGACGTAGTCTCAAAAAAAAAAAATCGTAGACACTGGTATTTTCAATCAAAAACTCAATCATCGTTTTAATATCAACTTCAAAGTACTTACTTCTTCGACAATCAATTTTGCAAATAACTAATGACAAGGAAGGAATTATACAGTATATAAATTAGGAAATTGTACGATGGAATTGTTTATTCATCTCAGGAGCAGAGCAATCGCGGAGTCCTCTAAAACATCAGAATAGGATTAGATGCCATAAAAGATTAGGCATTCTCTTTGGCAGCCGAAATAACCATTGTTAATT